TTTTTGGGATTATGATGATCACTTACTGAGTAGCCAAACTCATCAAACTATGGTAAACATTTTTCAGGATAACTGCGGTTTCATTTGTGTCCTCGTCAAGATCAACTTTGGGAAGATATTGTAGTTTTGCTTAAACTTTCTTTTGTTACTTTGTAAGACCTCGCCACTGTAAATTTGTCCTATCAATAGATGTATATATGTTTTGTCCATCACATCTCAGGAATAATAATATTATAAATTCTTGGGGTGTGACATAAATACTGTAAAAAATCCACGAGTTAGTGAAGGGTCAACTTTAATTATTCTCATACATTGATGGTATAAGGTGTCAACTTTAAACACTCATGTAAGGTGCCTTAAAATTTTATTAAAAAATGTATCTTCAGTGCCAAAACTCTTATCATGGCTTGAAATTTTATTTTTCACCCCTACAATGAAATTAAAAGCTCCGAAAATAGTGTAAATCTAGCAGATCTATGACTATTCAAAAATCTTGAAAATAAACCGGCTAGATAATGTGTTATTAGATGCACTAATTTTAAAATTTGAAATTCATTTTTTATTTTATATCTATATATATCGAGGTCGAGATGATCAGAATTTTCCAGTGACTAAACAAATTTTTTCGATGGGTTTTTAAAGTGCATCTTATTTCTACAGTATAAAGTTGACACTTTATATAAACTTTTCTTTATATAACTTTATGGTCATATTTTAAACCATTTGAAATTCATGGCATGAACAAAAGCCAAGCATGAGGCTGTAAAACAAGCGGTCCCCAAAACCATCCAATGAAAATGATATCAAATTGAATTTGATGTGATGTCAAAATATTAATAATATCAAAACAACCCAAGCCCAAGTTTTACTAAGATTAAACTTCACTTCCTAATACTTGGAAGTTACCTGCCATCATTTGAATTCAGTGCATCTACTATGATCCCTCAGGAGTACACTATACATTTACTCCTCGGCAAAACACTAAGTTGGGTTTTTTTTTAAAGTTTCGAGATCTCATTAATTATAACTAGATGATTATTTTTTAGAGAAAAAAATTAGCTATTGAGTTCATAAACATCTAAATCAATCCCTTTATATATATATATATATATGGATTACTTACATAGAGAGTGAGAGTTAAAATATTTTTTTTGGAGGTCGTTTGACGGATTCTAAAGATCATATCCCCAAAAATTAGAGATTAAAAAAGATAACCCCTGAATAAGTTTTGCCTGAGGGACTAAATGGATAGTATACTCTCGCAGAAATAGGAAATCTTTTGACCTCTTTTTAAACCAAATACCTATAATATTTAATATGCTTAAGAAATCAAAAGCTAAGTTTTACCTTCGAAGATAATCATGTGGTGATTCTCAAATGAATCATTGAATTTCATTAAAAAAAATATCTCCTTGACCTAAGACGGAAGTGCATGGTACGATCTCTAAGAGCCTGATATAAAAAACATAAGTTATACAATCAATGTAGGAGCACTTGTACATACAAATTCAAGTGGGCCGTGGATTGATATCGGACACACCTAATGATTAATGTAAAATATGATGGAGAAAAAGGAGCCACTAAAACCACACGTGGAACAAACTTAGTAGTAGGCTCCCACTAGAGAGAGAGGTTAGTTGAAATCAAAGTTCTACAAATGGTGATCTGGATCAGAATCGGTTGATCCAGGTAAGGAATCGGTCAGGCCAGTCTAGCTCTTGCAAAATATTCGAGAATCAACTAGTTCTCCTATTGAGTTAGTTCAGTTAGAGAATTGGTCAGAACTGGCCCCACTTTATTTTTCTTTCTTTTAAATTTTATTGGCTAGTTCACTCGGTCGAATCACTAATCCATACTGTCGATTTGATGAAGCGAATTGGTTTTCAAGATCGGGTGATCTGGGTCACCAATTTGTTTTTTAAACCTGGGATACAAAGGTTAGTTGAAATCTTTTATAATTGGGGATCTAAGTATGTTTTAAAGGAAAAAGCTTAATAAGGTTGCAACATTAAAATGTAGAATTAAAAATGCACTTCAAAATCCATTGGATAACGTTGTTTTAAGTTGAAAAACCATCTAATTGATCACTTCGACATAGAGATGTAAGAATACGGAAAAACAAAAAAACGATATTGAGTCCTAAAAATAATGCATCTTACAATAAATTATCTAGACCGTCCTTTTTCAATACTTTTCATATGTTTATATAAATCTACTTGATTTCAACCATTTGTGGAGTTTAAAAATTTTAAAATTATATGTAAAAAATGATTTTCTGATAATCCTAAGAATTTTTTATACTAAAATTAGAATATGATAAAATTTGGAGGTGCACCGTGATTGGATTATTTAAGATTGTAAACCACATCCTTTCTTGAAAACAAAAAATGGTGGGTGCGGGTTGTATAAAGCCGAGGCTTTAAACAATCAAAGTAAAGATGAGAACAACCTGTTCTAGAAGAGGGATATTGGGTAGTGGAGTATTGATTAATTGACGATCATGACGCTTATGAAATAAAGCTTAGACCTCAACCATTTATTTGATTCAAACTATGTTTTCCACTGCGTAACGACGTAAGAGATGACCAAGCGTTGAGAAAATGGCGGTGCATCTCTCCGCTACTTTTTCCCATCCTCTTTCCTGCATAATTTGCCGCAGAGCACAGTCGGCTTTTTTCCCAGTACAATATTTACTGTTGAAAATCAAAAGCATGGAATTGAGAGCCCTGCATTCCGAAGCAAAACCCCTCAAAATCGCCGCTCTATGTGGTTCTCTCCGCAAAGCCTCCTATCACCGCGGCCTCCTCCGCTCTGGTAATCAAACGAAAACCCCCTCTCTTTCTCTCTCTTCAATGCCTAATTTTAGAGAGAGATAAATGCGCAAACACTGCTAAGATCAAAGCCCTATTTTCTCTCCCTCTGCTGCATTTTCTCTCTCTTTTTGTGCTGCATTTTCGACTGCTAGAACACGATAACAGTAAGAACCTCTCTCCCTCTATTTCTCTCTCTTAATAGCTATTTTTAGAGAGAGAGACAAATGTGCAAACACTGCTAGGATTAGAACCCTAATTTCTCTCTCTCTCTCTCTCCTGTATTTTTTCTTCTTTTTTTTGTGCTGCATTTTCGACTGCTAGGAACACTACCATGTGATAACAGTACGAACCTCTCTCCTCTCCCTCTCTTTCTTTCTCTTCAATAGCTCTTGTTAGAGAGAGAAAAATACGCAAACACTGGTAATATTCCGAATATCTCTCTCTGCTGCATTTTCTCTCTTTTTTTGTGCTGCATTTTCGACTACTAGAAACATTTCCGTGTGATAACTGTAAGAACCTCTCTCTTTCTCTACTCATTGTCTCTCTCTTCTGAAGCAATCGAGCTATCGAAGAGTTCAGTGACTGGTCTTGACATTGAGGTAGTGGACATAGAGCCCCTCCCTTTCTTGAACACAGACTTGGAGGTCGACAATACCTACCCTGCAACTGTTGAAGCTTTCAGGAAGAAGATCCTTGAAGCTGATAGTATCCTCTTTGCATCTCCTGAGTACAATTATTCTGTTACAGGTTTGTGTTTTCTCCTCCTTTTTTCCTTCTTTTAGTTTTATTATGTATTGCTGGTTCTGGCTCTGTTTTTCTTCTAGGGTTTTTTCCTTCGACTGTGGTCTTTGCTTGGTTATTTCTTAGGATGCTTTTTTATTATTCAATGACAATATGGCTTCATCGAAATCTCATTTATTTTTCGTTAGAGTTTTGGATGCTTAATTGATTCTTCCATTCTTACTGTCTAGAGAGAATGTATGATCTGATCATTCTTCTTGGATGGATTTTTTTGAGCCTCTCTCTCCCTCTCTCTCTCTCTCAAAGTCATCTTATCGTGGTTAAATCAACTGAATGTTGTTTTTTTGTAACATTGTGTTATATTCTAATGTTGGTAGTCACACTCCTTATGATAACTTGGGATGGCTTGTGTTCTCAAATGCTTCTAATTCGTTACAACAAGATTCTCTCTCTCATGCCCTTGTTATTCTCTCCATCTCTCTCATGCCAATATTTTTTTTATCTCTCTCACACCCCCACCCACCCTCCCACCCTTTCAAAAAAAGGGAAGTTTCTCTCTCCCATATTTTGGCATGTGAATATTTCTTCTTTGCTTAGAGTCACCCTCTCCTGTCTGCTTTATGTGACACCTGAAAGTTGGATAGGGTGAACTAGCGCGGTATATGCAATTTTTAATTTCTTTTGTCTACCAGTTGGAACACTTACCGAGGTCCAAATAATACAGAATAAACTCAAAAGAGATAAAGAAGAATAACAGACTTTTTTTACTTGCAGGCACTAAATAAAAGTCTTTTATTTCGATAAAAAAATTGCATAAGACTCGGTAGGGAGCAAGAAACACAAACTGCCTAACATAAGCGTTAGAAGATTACCTCAACTGGACTTGATACACCTCACTCTGGGTCTCCTCCTTCGATAGCGCATGGGATCAAGGTCTATCTTAGATCTTTTAAGTATGGGAAGCCTAGGGCATGCCCCTTCTAGACTCAGAGAATTGGGGCATGCCCCCTCTCTCTTTCTTACAAATAATTTTTTAACTCTTGGGGAGGCTAGAGAGATGAGAGAGATCAGAGAGAGAGGGTGGCGTGCTACCTTTTTTAGGGAGAGAGAGTAAGAGATGTAACTTGCGGTGTACAGAATGAGTCCCCCCCATAGAGACTATTTATAGCTTAATTGTCCAAGCAGTTTCCTAATTTATTCCAACCTTCTGCATTCCAAAATCTGTTTTAAGTTGATATGTGTTCTATCAGTATGTTTTTCCTTCTGATTAGCAGCACTAAGAGTACTAATAAATTGTCTTGTTGTCCCATTGTTGATGGAATTTGTATTTTCTTATTTGCGTACCATGCTAAGTATAATTTATTTAGAGAGCATTGGATTTGCTAGATGAGAATTTTCTTGCATGTTTTCATGAATGATCACTTACTGCTTATTTATATGGTTCCTAACTGGAGACCGCAGTATGGAACACTGTGATTATTCCGTTTTGGATGTATAAATGGAGCTTGTAGTAGTTGAACTTCATTCCTCTAGGATGTGAACTGAGCACTCTACCATGAGCAAAGTGTCTCTTTTGTGGCCATTTTGACTTTTGGATTTTGAAGTAAGGTTTCCCTTTTGTTGCTCCAAGGCAACATTATATTCACTAATTGTGATTATTAAAACATTTCGTAACATATTAAACTACGATTTCATCACCTTTTTCTAGTGATAAGCACTCATGTGGTGCATAATCCTTTAAAAAATTAATTAAAAATCCTTTGGGAGAAAATTAATTAAATCCTTTGGGAGTGTAAATGGCTTAAGTGCATGCATAAGTGATGTGATCTTGGGATAGACTAGAAAAGTTGAGGGAGTTTTGGTTTAGAAACTGATTAAAAAGGTCTTGACCTCTTGATTTGCGGTCATTGTTTTGAAGGATCTTATGTGGGTGACATTTTCGCTTTACTGAATAAGTACCGTGATGATATCTAGTTGGCAAGTGGTTGTGGGGAATTGGTTTGACTAATGAATGTGAGAATTGCTGCCTTGAACTGTGCAAACAAGACCAAAAAAACAAAAGAAAGTTGTTCGAAGAAATTGATTCCAAAACTTGTCTCTCATCATGTATGGGAGGCTTCTTCCCATGATTCCTTAGTATTACCAGGAAATGTTGTCCCTTGAATGTAGTCTCCATCATGAATGCTCCTTGAGCATATGCTTTCCACTCTGTAATCATATCCTAGCAATGTGTGATATTAGCAGATGACCAGAACTAGAAGTATACATGGTCTTGGTTTTATGAGGATACATGCTTGATGATGGAAGTAGTTTCAACCAGATGTAATGCTAGTAATCATAGCAATAATGAAACATTGGTCTCTGTGTGATTCCTTTTTTCCTACCTAAATTCTAAAGGTAATGCTACCAGCTCTAGTGAGTAGCTTGCAAGTAATGAGTTAGGTTTATCTTGTCTAATCAACTCCTTGCAACCTCGCATGCCATCATCATGATTTCGATGTTTATGAATGCTACCACAATTTATGGAAACCTAGTAAATTTGGGATAATGTGAGCAACTTGTTCTCTCCAGATGATGGTACTGTGGTCTATTGACGTAAGAAAGAAATTGCTAATTTGAAGCATAGAGGGAAATGTATTATTGAATCCTAAAACCCTGTGGTGATCTCGTAGGCTGAGTTGTCTTACCAGTTGCCCATGGCCACTTGTTCTTCCGGTCCCTAAACACCATAGTGCAATATGCCATGAACCTTTTGCTTCATTTCCCACTGCAAGTTCTCGCAGAAATGAAGTATAAGATGGAGGAAATCTGATCTCTTAACAGGAGGATCTCCCCGAATTAAGGCAAGTCTACCAGCCAGCCAAGTGTGATCTTTCACAGAATATCCATTGGCTAGAATATGATATCATTTTGTTCCATAAGTTTGGCCATGCAACAAAGATTATAAACAATGATGGAACATTGAAAAAAGTTGGTAAATGAATGAACCGGCGAGGCCTATGCACCTAGCTTGGATAGGTAATAGGTTATCTGATTGAGTTTGCAAGCCCAACAGACAAAATGGGATCTAGGAGCTTGAGAACAGGAAGTCAAAAAAGAAGTGGCATCCGTCATGTAGTTGGATACACCAAATTCAACCAACCAATCATTTGAAAAGGCGGTAATAAAGCCTGAAAAATTGGGTAAACTTGAGGGTCTTCTATAACTGATTTGGGGAAAAGCTAGTGTGACTGATGTTGGCATGCTTGTTCTGTATTTGGTTTGGGCAATAGCTGGACATCCTTTAGGAGGCATGGTATTGAGCATAATATCCACACTTTACTGCTGATGCCTTGTGTTTTCATGTTTCTGCACATTACATTCTATAATTAAATTATGCATAGTGATAGCCCTTGGGTTATGAAGGGCCATGCTGGCCAATAAAACGTGAGGCATACATGAACTATACCTGATGATACAGATGGGCCTATCCTATGAGAATTCCAAATATGTGAAGTAGTCTCTTTAGGTCTAACATCTGCTATGATGAACTCAACATTTGGATGAAATACTATCAAGAGATGTAGATCTTACATTATCAATTCAGGTCAAGTTTTGTTTGTATAGGCGGGGTTGAGTCTTTGTATTTTTGGAACTAAACCAAACTCTATCTTGTGACCATCATTGTCCATTAATAAGTCCACTTATAACCATAGTGACATTTTTTTTTTTGGTTTTGTAGGGGCGGGGGGGGTGAGATGATTTTTAGGGAAATTTATCAAAATAGCCATAAGAGATGAACCATTCAACATTTTACCCATTTGCCACTATCCCAACTCAAGAATATGTATCTTTCTATGAGGTGTATGAATTTGAATCAAAAGATGTCGGTAAAGTGTTAAATTGTTCATCTTTTATGAGTAATTTGATAAATTTCCCTTATTTTTATATATTTGGAGGAACGAAGTGGAAAATTTACTTGGGCCTATTGGGTGCATGTGATTCTAACAGGCTCAAGCATTGCTTACTGCCTTGTGGACTCGTCCTTTCCATCTAAGCCCTAATTACTTGTTGAGGGAGATTGTTCGAATGCCAATAGATAGGAGTATAAACAGTCTCCCATTCTGTGGAAGGTGTGTATTTCATCGTTTGTAGTGCCATGAAGGTGAAGACATTCTTAGGGGTGCCAATGAGGGGCCGACACCCTTAGTCCCTTACTACTCTAGGGGTTCTTCGACACACACTCTTTATTGAAGCGGACTTAATGTAAGCATTCCAAGATGTGGCCTTGACATATCTTGAGTTATGTATTATTTTGCTTTGTGGCTTCTTTGTGCCCTTCAAGATTTATGTAATAAAATTTCATTGGTGATTCACATAGCAGGACCAATCAAAAGAAAAAAAAAAAGAATCTGCATAACACGGTATAGGGCCCAATAAAATCAAGGGGCATATTTGGATTTCTTTGAAATTGTTCCTTTCTTAATATTTCTCTCAGGAACTCTCGTTTGCATCATATGGACAGATTATGCTTTTAGAGCCCATGGTTTGACAGCTCTACAATATCCTACACCATTCTTCCTCTTTCTATATACATCTACGTTCTATGGTTTGTGCATGTATACATGACGTTTTTATGCTCCATTTTTATATTTTTGTACAATGATTCCTGTTAGTATATGCCATTACTCGCTATACTGTATACTCCATACACCACTCCTTTGGCTTCGACACTCATCCTTTTATACTTCATAGCCTTTTGATTGTACATACTTTCTTTTGTGGTCCATATTAGACTTCTGTATTCTATTTTACATATTTCTGCATAAATAAAGTAGTATGGGTGTACATGCATTCCTTCCTTCTCAGTCATACTTTCCTCTCTTTCATATGGTAGATCTGGGGCCCATTTCATTCTCTACCTTCCTCAAGGTGTGGCATTACCACCCTCTTCCTCTCTATGTTTTCTGCCGCATCTCTTTCTTAAATAAGGGCTAAAGGTAGCAATATACTGAAGAAAAAGACAGAGAAGAAGAAAGGTGGCGCATAACACTTTTTTAAGAGGAAATATGTAAAATATAGGAGGATAGTGGACAGGAAAAAAAGTATGTAGGCTTTGAAGAGATGCATATGGAAGCTACAGATGTGTAAAGAGAGGAAGATAGTGTACCTAACTGGTGGTGTATGGATTTTAGCCTATAGAGGGTAATAGTGGATAGTAGGACAAGAGGTCACAAAATTGAAAATGGAGGGAGAAAAAATGGCATGTATAAAAGAATACAACTAATCGTTAACTATATAAGAGTTGTGAATAGAATGAGAGGGTGCATGCACAAAGGGAGAATAGGGTTGGATTGTGTATAAATATCAAGGAAGAAGTTTATAAGGCCGATGCGTTATGATACAGTAAAGCTAAACCTCAAAACTGCACCAGAAATGCAGTTCTAGTGTTGAAAACTCTCAAATTGGTAATATCAAACTCCATGATTATGGATCTCAAAAAAATAAGATTCAAGCCCCTAAAATAGTGTAGCCTGGAGCACATTATCCAAATGGTCTATTTTCAGGTGTTCACAGATCCGCCCAATCTGCACCATTTTTGGAGCTTCATATTTTGTAATCAGGGCAAAAATAGATTTTTTGGCCATCATAGGCGTTTCCAGTGCTAGAGCTACTTTTTTTAGTGGAATTTTGAGATGCAATTTTACTTTCCAAGATGGCCTTATGCTATTTGCACCCAAATATCAAAGCATGGGTTATATAAGCATGCTTTGTCCACAGAATACAAAAGAGAGCATGCTTGAGAGAATTATGTAGAAACGAACAATTTCGAAAATCCAAATGTGTCCGATGATTTTCTTTGGCTCTACACTAGGTCATACTTCGAGCTCGACTAGCTTTCCACCTCCCCATTCTCAGCATTAGTATCTTTGATTACCATATCAGATAATCGTTGTACACCAATAGAAACTTTACTAAATTGATTTTCGATATAAAAGATGTTAGATACTTTACATTTTTTTTTTTTGACTTAATAATGGTATAAATACTTTGGTATGCCACTAATAAGTCACTTTTAGTCAAATTTGAAGTCATGCAAAATAATTTATATAATTTAATACATCAAATTAACACTGGGATTTTTTTACTTCGTCATATTACCAAGTACCCACCCAGATGTGTCTTAGCTGCCCGACTACTACAGAGGGAACTTTTCAATCTTTCATAATTGCCCTGAGGATTTTAATAGTTATTTGCAGTGTGGGCCACTAGATTCCTAATCTTGAGAGAGATTTAATCCAACTAAGATCAAAATCAATGGAGCGAACTTTTGAAATTATTCTCACTTATCAAATATCTGATTAAACTGTAGTTGTTGGGATCTCCCAAACTGGGTAGCGATCCTGCTCTGGAATCTCTCCTTGTGCTCTCTAGGAAAGCGATCTTCAAGGGATTTTGGTTTTACTTTCAGCGTGGACCACTAGATTCCTAATCTTGAAAGAGATTTAAACCAACTAAGATCAAAATTAATTGAGCGAACTTTCGAAATTACTCTCACTTATCCAATATCTGATTGAACTATAGTTGTTGGGATCCCCCAAACTAGGTAGCGATCTTGCTTTGGAATCTCAACTTGCGCTCTCTAGGAAAGCGATCTTCGAGGGATTTCGGTTTTTAAATTTTGGGATCTCGATCCCACATTAAAGACCAAGATAATGACAAACTAATGATTTTCTTTATTTATAGTTAGGTAGCAATGCAACTCTTTGCTGACTATAGCAAAAAGATCCCTATTAAAGAGTACATACTTAGACAATATACTCTTTAAGGTTGGGAGCAAGATTCCAAAAGTTGGGATTGAGATCCCTAAAGGTCGGGAACCCCAAAAGGTTGTGATCAAGATCCCTGACATTTGGGGATCGCAATCGCTAACATATACATTGTACGAAAAGCACTTACCACCATGGGGTTTGTCTAGCCTCTCATGATCCCTGGCTCCTATTTCCATTTCTGATCCCACTCTCTATCTGAACAACTATAGATTGACTTCAAAATCTTATTGGAAGATCACCACCCTTAAATAAGTTACATATTTATTGAAGGAATGGTGATGGGGTGGTCAATTGGGCTTTGGTCAACATTGTAGGACACCCCCTTTGTAGGAGGGAGGTCAAGGGTTTGAATTTTTCCCAAAAAGCCAAAACACTTGGTGGTTCACCTTTTTTAGTGAAGCAGAGAGAGATTAATATCTATTTAAGACTGCTCAGAAGAAAAAGGGGTGAACATCTTGTAGACCTTTGGCTCTAGTTGACCTCCACACGATGCCTCTTCATGGTTGCTATAACTATGAAGTGGCCTTTAGCTTGATGTGAAAATATGTCTCCTACATGATATATTTATGAATCTCCACCCAGTAGAATGCATGTGGTTTCACAAGAAGAAAACCATTGCTTAAATGAGCTTTAAGACTTGGTTTTAGAGATTCCACGAGGGGGAACTGTACACCAATGTCATTATTGATGCTTATTCTTAGGCATGACATTTTATGATGGGATTGACATTAAAATGGAAATGGCTGTGAGATGTGGAACTTGGCTGAAATTAATATCCAAAATTCAGAATAAAACTGGACATCTAGCTAAAGATGAATTCTTGCACATGCTGCTTGTGTTCAGTGATTTAAGTTTTGTGAAATTAGAAGGGGGGACAACAAAAATCTAATGTGAAAAGTTCAATTCTTTTAGGTATTAATGGAAGCAATTGGGCACAACGGATTCTCCGTGACAAATTCATTACATTCTTTGTTCTTTCTAATATGATTTTATTGATTTAACAAAAGAACTGGAATGAACCCAAGGAAACAATACAAAAATAAACAAAAATAAATAGGGAACAGTTGAATAAGAAGTAAGAATAATCAGGAAAATCAAGAACTCACCAGTTGATGGCCACTTCGAGGGGGCTATCTCCTTACAAGATAATTGTGCCACTTCGTGAGGGCTACCTCCTTACAAGACTCGGTGCAATTTTGTCTCTGCTCTACCCTCTACCCAATCCTTAATTTTATAGCCAATAATCAAATCATATCAGGAAATATAGAAATCGCAATCCATAATTGATCCTACTTACTACTTTTATCCCTAAAATCAATTCGCATGTGTGTCATCCTAATTTCCCCCCTTAAATGAATACATTCCCTTAATAATTGATATTCATTGGATTTGTCATATGCACTTTCCTTATTGAAACCTTACATGCCGCCCTCCCTAAGAGGGCCTTGACCGCAAGGCTGAAAATGGGGGAAATGCTCGACAAATTTGTGCCATCATTCCATGTAGCATCCTCAGGTTTCATACCCTTCCAGTGGACTAGTACCTTAGTAATGGCACGGTTTTAAAATTTGTGCATGCGACGGTCTATGTTGGCAACAGGTTCCAACTCCAATACCCCCTCATCAGACAGTGGAGGAAGCTCATTCTAAACTGTGACCCTTGTCCTCACCTCCTTTTTTAAGCATGATACATGAAATACGGGGTGGACTTTGGATGATTCTGGTAGCTCTAACTTGTAAGCAACATGCCCAACGCATTCGATAACCTTTTATGGCTCATAAAATTTTAGCGCAAGTTTCTTAGGTCCACGAACCACCACAGAGGTTTGGCGATAAGGTTGCAACTGTAGGAAAATTATATCACCTACTTGAAACTATCGCTCAGTGCGGTTTTGATCAGCCTGCTGTTTCATGTGATGCTGCGCAGAATTTGAATTCTCCTTCAGAATTTGTATGATATGATCTCGGCTTTGCAGTCTTGAATCTACAACTTGAAGCCTTGAACACTTGCAGTCCCAGGGATGTAAGATGTGATAGATGGAGGGGGTTGCCCATAAACAGCTTCATATGGTGGTGGAAAGGTAGTGGGTGGTATTGTACCACCATTTTGCTAATGGAAGCCATTGAACCTATTGTTTGGGTTGGGTTGAAATGAAACATCTTAAATAGGTCTCCAAACATTTGTTGACCACTTTGGTTTGAACATCAGGTTGAGGATGGTATGCAAAGCTGATTTTTAACTGGGTACTCTACAACTTGAGCAACTCACCCTAGAAATTACTTGTAAAGATGACATCTCCATTACTCATGATAGAGTTTGCATTCCATATAGCTTAAATATATTATCAAGAAAAGCTTGAGCCATCACAACAGCAGTAAATGGATGTGAGAGAGCACAAAAGTGAGCATACTTAATCAATCGACCACCACTAATATGTCAGACTTTCCATGGGAATTGGGTAGGCCTTCAATGAAGTCCATGGAAATATCAGTCCATATTTGATTGGGTATAGGGAGGGGCTGCAATAACCCCGGTGTCCTACAGTTTCCCCCTTTTGTCTCTGGCATATGTCACACTCAGTAACAAATTGTTTGGTATCATGCTTAATTCTCTTCCAATAGAAGGACCTGGCAACACGCTTGTATGTCTTGAGAAAACCAGAATGCCCTGCTGTTTGGTGTGTCATGTAATTCTTTTAGTATCTGATGTTTCCATAATGAACTAGGTGCCAATAAATACCACACAGCCTTTGATCATAGAAGCTCTCCTTGCTAACTATATTTGGGTCTTGCCATAGGATCTTCCTGAATTCCCTTTATGAGAGTTTTCATAGAATCATCTTCTTCCCACTCTTGTTTAATGGCGTCCATCCATTTAGGTTGAGGTAATGATGTATTATTGAGAGAGGGTTCCTCATGGAGACATGAAAGGGTATTTGCAACCACATTCTCTTCTGCTTTGCGGTAGACCATTTCATAATTGTATCCTATGAGTTTGGGGACCCATTTTTGCTACTTTGGAGACAAAATTCTCTGTTCCAAAAAATATTTATGATTGTGATGATCAGTGAGGATAACAAAGTGCCGTCCCACCAATAATGTCTCCATGTATTTATGGCATGGATAATTGCTAGCATTTCCTTCTCATATGTAGAAATGCCAAATTTTTTCCTGATAAAGCCTTACTGCTGAAAGCTAGAGGTCGTCCTTTTTGCATTGGCACAACACCTATCCTAGTCCTTGATGCATCAATCTCTATATGAAATCCTTAGAGAAATTACGTAAAGCTAACATAGGTGTGGAGCTTATTGTCTTTTTTAAAGCATTAAAGGCAATCATGGCTTTAGAATCCCAATGGAAGGAATTCTTTTTTAACAAATCAGTTAGAGGAGAGCATATTTTGCCATAATTTTTCACAAACTTCCTGTAATAGCCAATGTCTAATAAACCCTCACAAGCTTTTTAATGTTTTAGGAGTGGGCCAGTATACCATGCTTTCTACTTCTGAAGATCTGCCTTGACTCCTTCTAACCTAGGTATTCAACTTCTTTCCTCCAAAGGAACACTGAACACCTACTGTGTTTCAGATAAAATGATGTTTCTGTAGTGTTTGCAATGCACAAGATAAGTGATCCAAATGTTCTTTCCAGGTTCGGCTGTAAATTAAAATGTCATAAAAAATGACCAAAAGAAATTTTCTCAGATAAGGTCAAATTCCCTCATTTATCAAGCTCTGAAAGGTTGATGGTGCATTCGTGAAGCTGAAGGGCATTACAAAGAACTCGTAATGGCCCTCATGGGTTCGGAATGTTGTCTTGGGAACATCCTATCCTTTCACTCAGATTTGGTGATAAGCCTGATTGTAGATCAAGTTTAGAGTAGTACATTGCCCCATTTAGCTTATCTAGCAGCTCATCAACTACAGGTGTGAGAAACTTGTCCTTAACTGCATTATTTTTTAGGGTCCTATCATCTACACACATTCTCCATGACCCATCTTTTTTGCGTTCTAGGAGAACATGCGAAGAGTAAGGGCTGGTGCTAGGGCGAATGGTACATGCTTCCATCATTTCCTAGACAAGCTTTTCTATTTTTGTCTTTTAAATAGATGGATACTGGTAGGATTTGGTGTTTGGCGATTTACTTCTTGATGTAAGTGGAATGCTGTAATCATGAGATCGTTGAGGTGTCCCTTAGATTCCTCAAATACATCATTATATTGTCCAAGAGCAGTGATCTGAGGGTGTTCCAAAGTTTCCTCTATTGCTGACCAGGAAAATAACTACGCCATTATACGTTGAGACCCTTTACGCACCAATTTCTCCATGCGATGCGAACTGATGATCTTTGTTGGGCCTGCCTCGACCCCCTTAAGTGTATACTCAATTCTGCAATTGTGAACTGCATCCATAAATATGAGAAATCCCATAAAATTGATCTTAATGTTCTGAGCCACTGAGCTCCTAAAACCATGTCACACCCACCCAAGGGGAAAACATGCATATCGAGTTTATATTGATAATCCCCCATGGTTATAGGTATAATTCTACATCTTCCCTTACAAGCTAGCTTCCCTCCATTAGCCACCATTACTTCAAAATTTTCATGAGGATAAAAATAAAGTTCACCGTTCTTTGTAACTTCAGGATCGACGAAGTTATGGGTGCTACCTGAATCGATGAGAATGATGACACGATGCTTCTTTAAATACCCCTTGTACTCGCATGGTTTGAGGAAAGCTAACCCCGGCTAGAACATGCACCGAGATTTCTGGGTCTTCCTCCATGTCTTGTGGAAGTTGGTCATTGTCATTCTCGTCACCTTCAGTGGCGCCTTCAGATATGTCCCCATCCAACAAATATAAATTTTATCTTTGCATCGATGCTCGAGACTGTATTTCTCATCACAATTATAACAAAGGCCTTTTCCTCGTCGTTCTCGCATCTCTATTGGTGACAACGTTTTAGCAGGAGGTTCCAAGGGTCATGTGGATGCTTCTGCATTTGGTGGGGATGTTTTGGCAAAAACTGATTTATTTTGTCATCATTGAGGCAATAACTTATCTTCTTGCAGGCATGCCAACCTTATGGTTTCCAAAATTGTTTTTGGCATAAACATTTGCATGTCATGACGAATTTCTTCCTTAACCCCACCAATAAAACAACTGGTAAAAAAGGAATCTAATAATCCAGTTGTTCTATTAGCTAGTCTCTAAAATTGTATTTGGTACTTGCGCACTGAGGTAGTTTGGCAAATCTTAGTTAGCGCCCTGTCATCAGCATTTTCAGAACCTTTTCCCAACTAATTGGGGTCGGCTATACAAATCTTGGTTCGCCATTTAGGATTCATGGTAAGTTTTGCAAAGTTTTACGTTGGTTGCCTACCTAACACAACCTAGCCCTTTTACCCGGGCATGGGATGGGTTAAGAGAAAGTTAGCGCCCGCGCCCTTCTGAAGTCCTCAAACTGGCTTGGGCGAAAACATACACAATGTTGTAATAAACTTTTTCCATGTAGGGGTTCCATTGACCTTTTCGAACCACTAGGACCACTAAACAGCTTCTTGCTCTAAATGAAGGGAGGTAAGGCGTACCTTATTCTCCTCAAGGACTTGATTGAATGCAAAATACTGCTCAGGCGTATAAATCTAACTAGTTGGATTATCCCCATCAAAGCGAGAGAAGTCCAACTTAGCTGTTGGTGGGAACATAGGACATGGAAGATTGTTAGATGAAGCACCTTTTTGCTGAGGAAAGGATTTCAATGTAGGTAAAGGCTGTGGAGGAGACTGGGGACCAGTATTGCATGTTTAACAGACATGATTTCATTTTAAACTTGATTCAAGGAAGACGACGTAATCAAGTTTGCGGTCTAGAGCAACCATTAATGCCCGTATGTCTTTCTGGGCTGCAGATTGCTCTTGGTATCATTTTTAACTTGGTTCAACTCTTGTTGTAGATCTTTGATATTGGGAGCCATTCTATCTCTCTCATCTTTTTTTTCTCCTTTTTTTTTTTTGTCGTTTTCTTTCATTTTTCTCTTTTCGTTTGCTCTTTGTTATTTTTTTGTGCTCTCTTTTTTTTTTTGTTTGGACGGAAAGATAGTTTTGAAGAAAAACAATGGGTGGTCAAGGAAAAGGCTTCAGTACGTCCTTATGATTTGATTCCTGATTCTGATGTGCTAAGATCCAACGAGGGCGAAGCACAAAGCATACATCAAGTATAATCGCTCCTAAGAAAGATCTCTGATACCAAATGGAACGAACCCAAGGAAACAATACAAAAATAAAGGAAATTAAATAGGGAACAATTTAATAAGAACCAATATTTACTAGGAAAATCAAGAACTCACTAGTTGATGGCCACTTCGAAGGGGCTTCCTCTTTACAAGATAATTGTGCCACTTTGAGGGGGCTAACTCCTTACAAGACTCAATGCAATTTCTTCTCTGCTCTACCCTCTACCCAACCCTCCTTTTTATAGCCAAGAATCAAGTCATGAAAGGAAATATAAAAATCACAACCCATAAATAATCCTACTTACTAATTTTATTCCCTTAAGTCACTTTGCATGCAGGTCATCCTAATTACCCCCCCCCTTAAATGGATATATTTCCTTATTAATTTATATCAATTGATTTGTCATATGCACTTTCCTTATTATATAAATTGATATGCATCCTTATTGAACCCTTACAAGAACACTCCTATGACGCTGCTTTTATTAAAAACAAGTCAAATAACATCATTCTCTGAGTAGCACTGCGTTCTTGATGACTAGTGTACAATTCTCTTGCATCATTTGGAAAAAGAAAATAAAACGTCGAGTTTCATTGATGGTAATATGTTCTTAATGAATTTCAGCTCCCTTGAAGAATGCAATTGATTGGGCATCTAGACCTCCAAACGTGTGGGCTGATAAGCCTGCTGCCATTATAAGCACAGGGGGAGGTTTTGGCGGGGGAAGAGCTCAGTTTCATTTGCGCCAGATTGGGGTTTTCCTTGACCTGCATTTCATCAATAAACCAGAATTTTTCATTAATGCATTTCAGCCTCCTGCTAAATTCGATAGTGAAGGTAATCTAATTGACGAAAGTACGAAGGAGAGGTTAAAGCAGGTTCTTATTTCATTGAAGGCATTCACGTTCAGACTTAAGGGCAAGGACTGTTGAATTGCTCTGCCACTAGGTTGAATATTGTGTTCTCTCTTTTTCTCTCTCTCTCTCTCTCTCTCTCTCTCTCACTTGTTAGGGCTAAGTGTGGGAGAGCAGGTTGAATTCATGTTATTGTGTGCTCGGGCATGAAGAGATTATTGAGAGTAGATTATTGGGGAGCAATTATGGTGTCTTGGATTGAGTGGCTGTATGTTATATCTATGACTTGTTCAGGCTATCTAAATTGGAAAGCCATGCCATATACATATCTACGGAATAAGATTGTAATACTAGATGGAGGATATTCAAATAGAGAGACCATACTGTACAATTCATATACTTTGTACAACATATAAGTAGCTTGATCCGGATCAAAATATGGTTGCCACAAATTTTATTAAGTAGTAGGAGTATTTTTTTGTTGTTCTATTAGAAGGGAGATAACTTAGGAGACTTAGGTTTATTTTTTGGAAGTACGGGTTAAGAGCGTAAACTCATTTAAAATGAGCACGTAAATTGTAATTAGGGGATGATTCAATTTTGATTAATAAAGAAAATGTTTTTTTGGAGAGAGAGAGAGAGGCCCATTGTAGGTGTGTTTTTCTTCTCTTGGGTCTGTTGCAGAATACTCAGATCCACGCTTTATGTTTCTTCTCTTTTTGGCTTTCTAAAACGCGGTTATTTTTGTCAGTGTTGTTTGTCGGTAAATTTATACTGGATCTGTAGCAACCAGATTTTGATCTGCATCATAGATGTTGTGTATATAATTCTTTTAGGTGATATGTATACAATATTTTCCTATGCAGATGGAAGCATTAATATGACTAATGTGACTCAAGTTCGGAATGAAACAAAATCTTTTGTTCATCATTTAATTCCTTTTTTCGTGCAAATTTATTTTTCTTTTGAAATATTTTTAAGAGCTGCTCGGACACTCATACATGTCAATAATAGTAATCAATCCTATATTTAATAATAAACAGCTCCCAATGCATTTGCTTTCATGAGATCTTGAAAGTGATGGTTTACTTGTTGGAATGATTTACCGTTGAGAGAGAGAGAGAGACAAAGAGAGGGTAGGGCCCCAAAAATAGTCCAGTGCAGAGTAGAGGGTTTGCCTCTACATGTGCTGCATGCTTTGAAATTTTGAGTGTTTAAAGAAATAGCAATTGCATGTGCTAAATTTCTGGAAATAGATTAAAATTCAGTTACTGATGATTCTGTGGGTTGTTTAATATTTAAAATTGAAAAAAATATTAGGCACATCTATTTCTGAGAAAGTATTATTGAAAGTCGAAGATGTGTGTTCCATTGTCATTGTCCAAGAAAATATTAAGATTAGAACGAGTTTGTAGATCGCAGAGGTAATGAGATTCCCAATTCATCTAAATCAAGAAAACCTCTGTAGATTACATGATTGGATTGTGGTAAAGAAGAATATGTTTTCAGGCTAGGGTAGGTGTATTGGATTTGTCAATGAATCCCAAATGCAACGGAAACACAAAATTAAAGGATAAGATAGAGGTTACATATTTTTTTAGATTCCATTACCGTCTTACGCTTGGTGTCATTCCTTTAGACTACGGTTATTTTGGTTCGAGAGTTTGATGCCTACAACTTTGGGCCAACTTTTGATTACATAAATTAGTATGATATACATAGCTCAAATCCCCCAGCCTATTGATGGAGATGGCTCAAGAGTTCTCTACAATGTCCCTTTACATAGGTGACCCCCTTCCAAGATTCCCTATCTTGAAGGCTGACTCAGATATGTCTCTTTTAAGATATAATCAAAATACTAATCCTCACCCCATTAGATTCTCAGATATATCTCTTTTAAGATATAATAAAAAACAGATGTTAGTGTTTTCGGCAGGGGGTGATTTGCATAGGAACAACAAAGATTCCTCATTGAAGGCTTAGTCAATGGGGAGCTTGAAAGGAACCAGGAGGGATACACATGGAAAAGTAATTAATATATATCAAATTTAGAGGTTTCTGAATTCAAAAAGGTATGGGGCCCAAGAGAGAGGCCAATTATGCTTAGAGGTGAGAATAATGAAACATTTGCTATTCTTCAAAATTGTGATACTGTGGTGCATGAGAGTAGTTGAGCTGCGGGAACATTATGGATATCGGCTGTAAGGATAATACTTTTACAGTTTTAATAAGTCCTGTATTTTGGATCAGCAAGAAGAAATGGGATAGCATTTGAAGAACATATCATTAATGGAATAGTTAGGAGAAGTGAGTGAGTAAAAGTAACTTTACCTCGTATTCTATCCGTAGTATTCCATGTATAATATGGAAGGGGAAACGACTGGAGAGAGATTTAACATCTAAAGAGAAAGAGAAGACCTTGAGTAAAACTTGTAGAGAGAAAGCTACAAAGATAATATCTCAATTGTTCAGTCAGTCATCCTAGATTGGTGGTTCTGGAGAGATACCTGCCAATACGAAGTGTGTATCTGAAAGATATAGGAAGAAACATGTACCTTTAATTGGTCCAAAATCCCTATGGTTTATCTAGAGCCTAAGTAGTGGGCAGTAGTTCTGATTCGGCCACCTCGGCAGCCACCAGGTGGTCTTGTCAATGTGGTTGTGAGGGGAGTTTTGGAGAACGTTCAACCGTTGGCCACTGTTAAGCCATTGGAGAGTGGTACTGATGAATGCACCATGGTGATGTTGCGAACATGGGGGTAAACATTAACCACCTAAATCAAAGCAAGGAGGACACATCTAATTAAAAGGATTCCCAGGATGAATCGGAACAGAGGCTTGGGGGCTGAGTCATTACAGAGGAACCAATCACATAGTTTGCATATGCTATAAATGATGGGAAAGGTGTGCGGTCGGGATTACGGAGAGGAAGAAGCAATTTAAATGGAATAGGGAACTTCTGTGCTTAGAATTGGGTTTCAATACCAGGGGCATGGGGAAAGCTTCTCATTCAAGGCTGATTCAGATTCATCCGTGCCTGCAGGTGAACCACTGGACATGGGAGTTGGGATGAAGATTCTGTGTTGGAATATCTGAGGCATTGAGACGATCAAAGGAAAAAGGAAGTCTTGTTGCTGTTTAGGTGTCACTGTCCGGGCATTTTGTTGTTGCAACAAACCAAGTTACCAAGCCCGGACCTTCGGAGTGTGCTTGTTGTTTGGGGAAGGTGTTCAGTGGAACGTGTATGTGAGGATTCTGATGGCTTTTTAAGGGCGTATTGGTTTTCTTGGAATCTTCAGTAATAAATGATCCAAATCTATTATAGGGAAAATATTTGTTTCTATAGTTTTTGAGCAACCACATGCTTAACTTTAAATGGTTCTTATTGCATGTTTATGGGCATAATATTCCAGCTATCATATCCCTGTTTTTGCAAGAAATGGCTGATATGTCGAACAATTAGCTTGGTGTATAGCTGGGGATAACATAACTCATTGGCCAAATGAGTCTAGTAGTAGAAATTGTATTACGCCCTATATGCATGCCTTCAATGGCTTTATCATGATGAATGAGCTGATCGAGATTCCTGCAATGTACTCAGTTTACTTGGATAAATAATAATTTTAAAAAACCTTCCTTTTTGAAGTTAGACCGTTTCTTGGTTTCAAATTCTTGGGAGTCCACCTTCCTGTTGGTCTCTTTGAAAGTCTATCCCAAATTATCTTCGGATCATACTATTGTTTTACGTAATATAGAAAATTGTACTTCGGGTCCTTCTACTAGAATTGAAATGTGTTGGCTACAGGACTAAGAAGGCACATATATGATGAAATAGATGTGGTTTAATTCAATAGTTTTTGGGTGGTATGCGTTTAAATTAACAAAGAAGCTCCAATTTTTAAAGGATAAATTTAGAAGATAAAAAAAGAAAGTGCCCCTAATTTCAGGTCTAAGATAACTAACCTCCTAGGCAAAACCTCTACTATAGATAGAAACGAAGAGCCTCCTAGGAAAAATCTCTAATATGGATAGAAGAAAGAGGAGCAGCGAGTTCTTACCTATGAGAAAATTTTGGAAAGGATTGAAGTAAAGAATAAGTTGCTGGAGTGCTTATATTAGAAGAAATGTATTGGCACCTACATTTGAAAGTGAAGTGGTTAAAAGAAGTGGATTTAATTATTGTGCTTTTCCATTCAATTGCTGGTTCAAGGAGGAGATCAAATAGTATCATCGGTATTAGGATTGGAGTGGAGGATGGAGGTCTTCAGGAGTTAAGAGAGCTATTGTGGATCATTTCGAGAAATATTTTCAAGCTGAAAGTACACCTAATTCTAACTTAGCACAAGTTCACTTTAGTGAAACTGCCAAAAGATGTTGCTCTGGAAATTGAGAAGCCTTTCTCTGAATCTGAATTTAAGGACGCCATTTGGAGCCTTTCAGGTGATAGCCCTCTAGGTCCAAATGGTTCTTTCCTTGCCTTTTTTTTTCCTGTCGACATTGGGAATCAATGAATAAGGATAGAATCCTTACGATCCAGGAGTTTTTCCATCGAGACAAGATCAATGAGGCTCTCAGTTATACTGACACAACTTTAATTCATAAGAAGGGTACAATTGGAGATTTGAATGACATACCCATTAGCTTGTTGACTAGCTTTTATATTATTATAACAGACCTTCTGACTTAAAGGCTTAAAGGTGCCCTTCGCTATGTGATTAAAGGTCCCCAATCAACTTTCATTCATGGGAGACAAATCACTGGTAGTATTCTCAAAAGTGCATTCATTCTAGGAGAGTGGTAAATAGACGACGGGTAATTTGCAAATTAGATTTGGAGAAGGCGTATAATAGAGTTGATACGGGTGTCTTGCGATAGTGTATGATTATGGGTTTCTGTGAGATATGGAAAGTTGGAATTTGTTTTGTTCATCCTTCACTCACTTTTCTTTTAATTAATGGAAGTCCTGAGGGATTCTTCAAGGCAAGTAGAGGGGTCAGATGAGGGGATCCGTTGACCCCTTTTCTGTTCACTATCGTGCCTGAATCTTTCAGTGTGATGTTTCTCAGTGTTGAAGATGCATGACTTTTCTGTCCCATCGAGGACATACGACAGTAAAAAAAAAAAAAAAGGAAGATGTATGACTTTTCTCAGACTTCCATATATCGAAAAAAGGTTTCTAAAGTATTTTGAAGTAGTTTCAAGTTTAAAGGTTAGTCTACAGAAAACTAAGTCGGTGGGTATTGCATGTAGAGAGCAGGAGATCACCAAGTTGGCTGATTTATTGGGGTGTGGAGTCGATAAGTTTCCTATGAACATATGAGGTACCTGATTTGCCCTTTAACCGAATCGAGAATATTGAGATCAATCTGGGACCCAATGATTCGTTTAAGCTTGA